ATGAGGGAAAAAGACACGAAAAGCCACCATTGGGTTGAGTAAAACGTCTCTGCACTTATTTCTAGGCAAATGGCTTCTCGAATTTCGCTTGATATTTTCGGTTGTTATGACATTATTTTAAAAACCCCCAATTTTCCTCACATATTCACCCCTGTCACCGGTCGTCCCGTGATTTGTTTTTCCCTTATTCCCCTTCCCCGCTTCCGAACGAATACATCAGATGAAGGCAATCGCCGCAAGTTCTCATTAAGAGCGTTCCAACTTTGGTCTTTGTGCCTAATCTTATCGAATTCAGGCGTTCGTATCGGAAAAATCTTGTTCGGAGATAGCTAGTTAATGCGGGAAGAATTTGTCCAAGTAGAAATTTCACTTCCATAGGGCACGCCAAAGATAAAGTTTGGTGTTTAGAGGTGCGCAAAAGTTAAGGTGGAGGTGCGTGGAAAGGACTGAATTCCAAAAAGAAAAGAAAGAAATGGTCAAAGCGCTGAAATTACAGGCTTTATCTTCATGTAAGGTCGTCTTTTGTACGGCCGAGAGACATAGCGAGCAAAGAAGCGAGAGTATACGCATAGAGCACGCCATATGAGAGGGCACAGATACAGGGCCTTACGAGCCGGAGGATATCGGTGTCAGTTTGTTTTCCGTAGAAGGGCACGTGCGAAGCGGAAGACAAACTACTTTGAAAAAAACCCCTCTAATTAATTTGTTACATTCTTTGTATTAATTTCATTTACATTTACTTATTTGGATGCATTGGCAAAGGCCCAGTGCCCTGTCGTACTCTTCCGAGTACGTGAACAGCGCATCAATAATTTTCGCAGAAATCTATCCCACCCACCGATTAAAGGGCTAATTTCAATGGTTAAATCCATGTCTTTAAGTCGATCAGAGGACAGCATGAACAGGCAGAAGTGCAGGAGTGTGAACGCGAAGCTTACAATTAGCAAAGAATTTCAAGCGGTTTCACTCTTAGATGGAGGTATTCCTGTTTTCGGTGACTCCGAACATCGTAAGCGTTGATCTAGTTATTACGATGTCTTTGAGTTGCAAACACATTACCATCCTTTTGTTTGAGAGGTGGTTCTTTGAGGAGTAAGATTCCGGTTATGACAGTCTCGGTAGGTTTCATTCAAAAAATGACTCTCTCTTGCCAGATCTCAATGAAAAATACGAGTAATAAAAGTTCAGTTCATAGTGCAGATTCAAATGACACTGTCAAAAATGATGTAACTTACGAATTTGATGAAGTGTCAAGTGGATCAATCTACTATCGGCGATGGAAAACAATTGTTCCCCGTACTCAGTTATGAATCAGCTCAATGATCGCCGTTGATGGATTTGTGCACGATCGGTTATTCTTACAGAAACTCGTCCCCCCATTCGGTATGTACTGGATGTGACGATTGCTTATCCAAATGGTATTCCGCTTAGTCTCGCCACACTTGGATTCGGTACTCGAGAAAAATGCGACATCGCCGTGAACTACAAGATTTACAATGCAAGCGAGGTCAGTGCTCTTTTTTTGTTTTGAAATTCGTCTTCCTTCATTTTCCCGATATTATTTACTACGGTACGATTAAACAGTAATTTTAATTACGAAATATGTAGTGAATGACATGATTAGTTTTGAACGTCGTCTCTTTCAAAAGCCTCGTTGCTTTATGTTGAACTTACGTAGATTTGGCTTTTCTCTAGGCTTACCATCATATAATTGGCGTTTTTTTTTTTTCGTAGAAGAAATGGCGAATCATTCAGCATCGATAATTCCATTTTGTAACGCAATTGCGCTGACGGTGAGAAATAGAATTGGCTTTTTATTTTACAATTGGCCCTGTTCAATGATTTTTTTTTCTGGGGTAGGGGCTAGTTTAAGCAGCATTCGGTTTTTATCTTCGCAACGATGCCGTAACGGAACGCCGCGTCAACTACGCAAGTGGAATGCATGCCTGGTCTGTCGCGCAAATTCGCTTATGGATATGACTTCCGGACTATATAGAACAGCAGTGAGCGGTGCCCCTTTTCTCTAGACCACATCCGGCAAAAAACGCCGCATGCATTGCACAGGGTCTCGGAGTCAAATTTCCAATCGAATCTCGTGCGTGCCAGTTAAGCCTCTCATTCCTCTGGGGTCGGTTAATTAGCTCAAGATTTGGAGGATAAACACATTTTTTCGTTTATCGACCGGCTCCGGATTATTATTATTTTCATGCCAGCAACATAATAAAAGCCATTTGGTGATTTTGATGGAGGTGTGAAGCGTGGCGCACCTCATTCTTCGCAGCAGCCCAAATGGCTAGCCGTATAATGCTGGATGAACATCGAGTGGCATAGGACCATAATACAGTCACAAACAGAACGTTGATTCACCTTGGGCTCTGCCCAACTGTCGCGCTGCTTCAGGGTTTGGAAAATAGAAACATAGAGGTGTGGCGCATCCCATGACGAAATTCTGTCTACCACAATCGTAAGGTCGAATTGGCGACGGGCGGTTCCATGCAGGAAATATAGGATACGGTATATTGATTCAAATATTTATTTATTGAGTTCGACAATCCATCTTTTGGCCAGTTTGCGACCATTATTCTCGGAAAATTGCGTTTCTGTCCATTTTAGAGGCGTTTATCATTTTGCTGTTAATCAGGCAAGACATTTGTGTCGACTTAAAAATGAGCTTTTATGTTGCGTTACGGTGACGGCTAGGGAATTTTTTACTAGTATCGCTCACTGCAGTTGTGACTGCTGTTGTGTGTTTGCCGTTAAAGATAAGAATCTGCTCTACAGCGCGAGTTCCACGAGTATGGCGAAAAACAGTAGGAGGCTCTACAAAAGCCGTCACTGTACGATTTTACCAGTACAAGTTATCAGGGAGCGGCGCAGTTGAAGAGGGGAGAAAAGTGTACGCTCAATAAAGTAAATACCATCAGATATTTGTTGAGCCGACGAACCTGCAAGGTGGATCTTTGATCAACGATGAACGTCTCTTTCTGAGAACTGTACTTTGTTCAAGATTCAACATTGAGGTTTTTCAGTGGAGAATTTTTCCTAGGCACTTTTATCGAGTAATGCGGGTAAGAAGGGGGGAGGGGAGGTGACATTTTGAAGCTTTTTACGTGGAGCTAAACAAACTAACCCATCTCCAGGGGGCATCTTATGTTACCCTTGCATTTTGGAAGTGCTCTGTTTGATAGGTTGCTGTTTATTTACGCGGTTTAACAGGAAAAAGGAGCAGTTGAGAAATGAACATCTCACTACTACGTCATTAGTTAATCAATATTGTAAGCAAAAAATAATTACGACAATAAATAAAAATAAACAAATATGTGGTTTTGGTGGTGCTTTACAGACATGTTGCGGAAAGTTTTAAAAAGAGGCTGTGTTACGGGCGAAAATTCCGGAATTCGGACGAAACTTCAGCCTGCATAGATTAGAAGTGCGTGTTACCAGCCCTAAGAGGTCCTTACCCACAACTCGGCTTTGTAATAATCAACTTCTTTCATTCGTATTCGTTTTTTTGCGAGCATTCAAACAATCGTAAGCGTTCCTAGAATGGAACAGAGCAAGGAAGTAACAAACTCAGTTGAGGTTTGATTGACGCTTCGATAGGCGATCTTGGGATTGTGATATTCTGTCCTACTCTTGCAGTATTTTCAATTTGGTAACCGTCGTTCTTAGAGCGGAGCAAATCTTGTATCGGTTGTATGAAGTCTCAAAATATTCATAAACGATAATACCTGTATTGTAGGTGCCATTTGGTGACGAAGAGCAGCTGCGAGACTGGATGTATGCTGTGTACAAGGAAAAAGACGAAATGCTCGGTGAGAGCCCTTAAAATTTGGTTCATTGATTGGCATCATTTACCGTAACGGATCTGCTGGTGTTTGTTGTGTTTGGCAAGCGAGTTTTTGATTCGTTTAGGATGACAACAATGCAAACAGTGTAAGAAAGGAGTGCGATAAATCAGACAGCACTAAAGGAATAGAAAATAAATTTTATGTACACTGGGAAATGAGCGAGGAACTTATGCAGTTCGTTCCTCTTTTGTCTTAGTGGTTCATCTTTTTATTTATTTTCATACGTCTAACGACATGCCGACCCCCAAGAGGGAGAAAAAACATGATTGACTGGTTGAAAGTGAATTGAGATACGTTTTGGATCATCAAATTTTCGTCGGGTTTTGTAGGAAAGAGCCCTTTGATTGATTGTTCAAATGTTGCGGTAGCCCGAATAGCTGAGAATTTTGTAGTTCTGGGATAGGTATAAGATAAGAGAAGGGTTCGCTGATCTAATGTTTTCCTAAATCCAATCTAACTGGTCATTCGCTGATCTATATGTTTTCCTATCCAATTAAGAGAAGGGTTCACTGATCTATGCTTTTCTAATCCAATCTAACTGGTCATAGCGACGCTTCTAATTGGTCTCATACTCAAGGACTCATCATCAACGGTTGTTGTCTGTTTGCTTTGCTGGTGGGTAGCATCCGGCTTCAGTACTAGCCCAGCTTGCCAATTCCACGTGGGTGGCCGGTAAACCCGTGTCTCGGAGTTTTGGCAAGTGCCTATGACCCCGGATGTGGCGAAGGGCATCATAGCCGGCTGATGTGGGCTCCTACCTGAGGCTATTGCTTTCTTGCTACAAGGCTAACAGCATCAGCTCTTTATGGTGATGCCATTGATATTTCTAATGTGCACATTCCACCGTCGCTAAAGGATCAGGAGTCTACACTTAAATATTACCAGGTTTCCTTCCGGAGCAAGCCTCTAGCTCTCGTCTTGCACTGCACGTATTGAGCTAAGTTTTTAGTTCGTTGTCCCTAATTGGCAATGCTCAGCGTCTCAGTATTCTAAGATGATTTGATGATGGTTTTATCCTCCTTAGCATCTTTTTAGGACTTTTCTTGTCTTTTTGTGGAGTTTAATCTTTATATACTTTGATCCTTCCCTTTACGAGCCATCTTCATGTGTTTGACGGCATGTCTTTTGACGTACGAAACAATAAACAATAAACAACAATGAAGCATATTAGTGGCAGTTTTCTATCAACTCAATAACTATCAGTGGTAGAATGTGTAGAGTTATCACCACATTTAACCGAATGGGAGTTAATAAAGCTAAAAAAAACTATTGATATTTTCAGGTAGCGTAACTTGGAGCGCACTTGCCCGGTGAGCGAGAGGTGGGGGTTCGGGTCCCGTCTGGGGCGAAAGTTTTGTTCACAACCCAGCATTCTTGTGAACCTATTGATAGTTATTTTAAAATTTCAGATTAAAAATCAGTTCTTGTACCATGAAAAGTAACGACATGAATAGCCGATTAGGCGATTCCGAAATGTTTCAGTTGGTAAAACGATTTCGCAATATCGAACATACTGAACTGCAAAATTATCGTTTCCCGAAATAAATGCAGCCTAAACTGCTATTTTTGTCTTGTTTGGAGCAATCCAGTGCGAGAGAAGCTATATGTGGTCAGAACGTTACTGCTGTAAAGGCAAACAAATCGTGTTTTGGAACTTTGTATTCCACTTGACCACGCCCCGCTACACTCTCCTTAAGATGGAGGCACTGCCGGTCAGCTTCCTCTTTTATCACTCACATTTCGCCTTCAGCTTAGCAATCCAGGCCAAATGCTGAGTGAAAGCTGCCAGCACAGACATTTTTTATCGACGTTATCAATAGAATGAATTATCGCTGTTCCCATCCTGGAATCTCAAGAGTTTTCCCGTACGAACAGCGCTGACGCGCTATTGATTACGGCTCACAAGCTCATTGCATTGGTCAAAGATTTCCACCCGCATCTTACCTCACCCACTCCTTCTACCCAACTTGAAAAAAAAACTTCTTATAAACTCTCCTAGCGACTCTATGGAGCCTTTGATACATAGGGAATTTTCAAACAAAATGCTCTAACATACCTCTTGTTTCCTGCTTAACCCATTCACGCCACTACGCGAAGAAGGACAGTGATCTTTGATTTTTTCAGCATTTTGTTAAATTACAAACTCATCAGTTACTTTTTTGGACACAGGATATATCACTTATTGGCATACTGGTTAAATTTTTGATAGGTCATCGACCACTGATTAAACAGATGACAAAACTACGGAAGGTGCATTATAACGGCGGATCTGCAATGGATTAAACTTATTTTAGTGTGCCACCTTCACATCTCTTTTACCTTACCAATCACAACCTTGATTTTCTTTCCATTTATTTAAATTTCCGATTATTTTTAGGATATGACTCAACTCTTCGGCATAGATTTTGCACCGCTTAATGTGCCTTTGGAAAGACGACTTCAAACTTTGGGCGCTATGCATTTCTTCATGATCTCTTTACTACTACATGTGTTGACGATTGGGCTTTTTAGCGTATATTATGGTGAGGTTTTTGAAGCGTTTGCAAAAGTTAAGTTTTGCAGTCAGAACATACAAGAAACTTCTATGCTTGTTGGAATCTCTCGAAAAACTTATGAGATTCCTTGACCGAGCTCTTAAATCACCTCATCCCCGTTACTTTTGTCCCAAAGGATATGATCCTATGGGACTATAAAGTTCCAGTATTTCTTTATCGCCACCAGTACGTATGACACAAAGATAATAGTTGGGATGAAATGGTGCCCCGGTAGCGTAACTGGTAGCGCACTTGCCCGGAAAGCGAGAGGTGCGGGTTCTAGTCCCGCCTGGGGCGAAAGTTTTGTTCACAACCCAGCATTCTTGTGAAACAATAGATAAAGTAAGCTCGCGAAAACGGAGGCACTGCATAGCGTCCCCAATATACCACTCAATATTCGAGTATTTTTTCGATCTAGTTACCTCAAAACCTGGTTAATCGAATTTTGAAATCTAGCCAGCTATGAAATTACGGGTGACCCTCTCTAGAGCACGTTTTTATAATTTACTGTCGCAATCCCCAGTCTAAAACGCTGCTGCGCGGCACGCTTTCGCGCGAAAAAAATCGTCTTGGATTTTTTATGGTCGGAAACCATCCTTGGACTTTGTTGAGTTTGGAAAACTATGTGGTCGTTACGAATAATAGAATAATTGGCGCGGTAAAGACTATCAATGAAAAAATATAGAAAAAGGTGGCGAGCTAGGCGCATAACTGCAGTCGTCAGTGTATCGTGTCGACTTGAGCCGACGAAAAGTGGGTAACTTTATCAAGACATCGCTCGATGTTCATTGGGAAAAACGGAGCACATTTGACAACAGTCATCAATTTCTTCATTTCCCTTTGTCAAAAGTAATAGCACCGTTCCAGTTGTTCACTGTTTTGTGGCCAATCTCAATGGCTTACTTTGTTTGGTTGTACTACGACTGGAAGTCCCCGAAACGTGGTGCTTACCGTTCCACTTGGTTTATGCGTCAGCGCATTCACAACTGGTATGCAAACTATTTTCCGGTGAAACTACACAAAACGGCGGAATTGAGCCCAGACGAGGTAGTCGATTTCAACCTTCAATCAGAGCAGGTTAAAATTTGGAATTCCAGAACTATCTAGTAGGAAGTCATCCCCATGGGATCATATCAATGTCGGCTTTCATCAACTTTGCCACCAATGGAACAGGAATCCTTGAAATGTTTCCTGAGATAAGTTTTCATGTCTGCACACTGGTGGGGCAATTCTATACTCCGTTCCGTCGCGAGTGGGGCTTACTACACGGAATGATCGACTGCAGCCGTGAAAGCCTTTCCCATGTTCTCAGCGGAGAGAAGGTAGGCTGTTCAAGTCTTGATCAGGAGGCCCATCGCGCCATGAACACGGCGACGCTGGTGAGGTCATGGGTGCTTCATCCCAGTTCCCAGCGCAATGAGCCTCCTGCGAAGGCCTCCTGAACAACATATGGAGAAAAAGGAACATTATTTCAGGGAAAAGCTTGCGTATTGGTAGTGGGTGGAGCCGAAGAAGCGCTCGATGCACATCCAGGCCATCACATTCTTACGATTAATCGACGAAAGGGATTTATTAAATTAGCTCTGGAAACTGGTGCTCAACTTGTGCCATGCTATTCTTTCGGAGAAAATGACATATTTCACCAGGTAATTTTTATATTGATTGCATTAGGAGTTTAGTATTATAATTTTATAATTATTATCGCATAGGATAGGAAACATATCTGCATATCTGGCATGTATAAACTCCCCGAGCACATAGCTAACCCGAACCACTCTGAGGTTCACTTACTTCCTCATTGCTTATTGCCTCAATGAGCGTCTAACAGCAATACATCTTGACCAAAAAAACTATCCATAAGTTTGAATGTGCCTAGCTAATTGAAGGGTGCAGGCGCTAGAGAAGCGGCATATGCCTCACTGCGACAGAATTCTGGGTGATATCGCAAGATAGGGGGAGTTTGATAGTAGCAATGTATTCAAAATCGCGATGAAACATCTACTTTTTGCTAAAAATGGGAAGAAGCCTTAGCCAGGAAGGAGAGACCCCTGGATTTATAGACAGTTTTCATTTTCTCCCAAATTCCTGCCCCTCCTAGGCTTAGTTCCAAAGGACGCCCCGTATCCTGCGATAGCACTGAATTTTGTTTGGAAACGACGACGTGAGGCCCCAAATGCTATTAGGTAGACGTTCTTTCGTGGCTTACCCTCTCCTTCGTTCTTGGTCATCAAATTCTCGTCCAGGCAAACACCTCTTCGCCGAAAGCTTGTAAAATGCCCAAATCGGATATGAGGGGCTCGAAGTGTTTTCTACGGCTCATTTTGCTTCTTTCTTGCCTGTAACTACTGTTTCATGTTGTGACCCCCCCTCTCAAATGACGCACCCTATTAATATGAGAAGCTTGTCCTTCTCTTGTGTCATTACACCAATCTATTCACAAGAGTTCAGCACAAATTCTGTCTCTTAACAACGAGTTCTCTAAAAAAATTCCCCCAAGAGTTACTTCAAAAAGACTTCGATAGTTTTGCACCGATTTTAAGGTAGAACAATGATTTCACCAACATTTCTGGTATCTGAGGAGTCAGAATCCCATGAGCTCTAGAAAGCTATGGTAACCGGTCTGAGGTTTACTAGACACAATGCTAATGGATTTTCAACCCCGATTACTTGAACCGGTCTGTAGCTTAGTCATGGTGAGGGATAGATTT